ATATTATTCACATTATAACAGGATAATTTTGAATATCTTTGCTTTGTTTATACCTTTATAAATTAAATAATTTTCATGTAGCTAATGCTGCTTTTATTTCGTTATAACATAAAATAACAGAACAAAATGACCCATTTTATTTGGAAAAATACAAATAAAACTTATTTCTGTTAAAGTTCAAGAAAACTGATAGTTGGATTAAATGTTTTATATAATAATAAATCTAATTTTTTATATAGTTTCATGTTATATAAACTGGTTAACATTTTAACTCCATCATTAGGAGCTTTTAGCTGACGAACATTAGAAATGTGACGTCAGGTGAAAACGTGTTGGAAGGTGTTTTTGTTCCCTCTTTATATTTATAAAAATCTGTTTGTTGTTCGTTTCTTCCTGTTTGGTGGTTTTCAGAGCAGAGCAGTGATTCCTGCATCAGCAGAGCCTCCAACAGAGCCGAGGTCAAAGGTCAGAGACGGAGCAGGTCTCCCTGTAAGACCAGCAGCAGTGTTGTTGTTGTTGTTAATTATATTTATTTATTTTACTCTCTGAGGTTATTGTTCTGTTCACTCTGTTTATCACACGTTAGATCCAGTAATATTCAGATTTATTACATCTCCCTCTTGGTTTTTGTCTCAGGTCTAAAACATTTCATGTTGTCAGTTTTCTCCAGTTTTAACTCGAAACAGAACATTAAGGAGATGCTTCATTTCAAACAATAACCTTTTAGTAAAGACAATTCTTTTCTGTCAACAAAAAACAATTTTGGCTAAATTATCATTATTAATTTTATTGRAAGGATAAAAATTCCTAATTAGTCTGTATTTCCTGAGTTGATGACATCTTTGCAGATTTAGAATCAACAAACTGGTTGTTTTCCTCATTTCTAGGCAGTAATTTAGTAAATTATTAACAAGTAAAACATGATTCAAATAAGAAAAAAAACATTTCTGATGAAGAGTTTGGAACCTGAACAAGCAGCTGTTGTTTGAACAGAAGCCGAAATGAC